TTAACTCAAACTCTATCGGGAAATGGTCGCTCACCCCCAGTGCCTGCAAGACAAGGGCACAGAGGGTTCAGAGTGGCTGCCCCCGGTCTCTCCAAGCCCTGTCCCAGGTGGGACATGGATGTGGGGACGTGCAACGCAAGCATTGCATCCCTTTGGGAAGATGCAGCAGTTTTATGGCCAGGACCATGTTCAGAACTGCCTGGACACTGCTGGCTTTGCACTCCTGTGTTAGCCCTTGCCCTGCTGCTACAGAGGCTGTGCTGTGCCTACCTGCTCCTCAGTCATCTGAAAGTCCTTCTGGAAATCAAAGATATTGGCAGAGTGTGGCACGACAGCGTGGATGAGCTTCTGTCCGCTGACTACGATCCTGCAAGGACCAAGGGAATGGGGTGCTGTGATGAGGTGCCTGACCAGCAGCAGCTGGTGAGGAGAGGGAGTGGCTGGAGGAGTGACCTGCAGGGAGTCACAGCTACGCATGGTTTGTCCTTAGCAATGGGCTTCCCACCCAGAGATGCCATCTCCTTTAGGTCCCTCCTTGGCAATGAGGCATCTAAATATCTTGGCCTGCATTGGCCTTGGAAGCTAATGCCAAATGACTTCTGTCTAAACCCACCTACCAGTGCTGGGAAGTTGAAAGCTCTGCTTTGGATACAAAATGCACAGGACACCAATGACTGGAGTCTCAGTGAAGTCCTCCTTAGATCCAGGAGCTCATTCTGCAAGAGGACTCTGGGTTCTAACAGCTGATGTATCGTTTGTCCCTGCTGAGGGAACTGCAGTGGCAGCAGGAGTTGCCACATGCCAGAGGAAGGTGAGGTGTCCCCCCTCCCCAAGCAGAACTTGGTTTTGCATTTGTCAATCCAAATTACAAATGTAAGAGCAAAAGTCATGGTGCAAAGCTGGCACAGAACAGGCAGCAGCACCTTTCTCCAGGAGTCTGCAGGACTCTCTGAGGATGAGAAGTGCTGCTGAATGACCTGCCATCTATCCCCACCTGAGCCACAGCAACAGCTGCTTGTTGCCTGAAATCCTGCCTCTTCTCCAAGCCTACTCACCAACAGGTCTGAAAAGTGCTCTGTGCTCCTGACTAGAAGCATTTGCATCACATTTTCCCTGGACACTGTTTTATCTTTGATGGCCTCATGTACATTTGTTTTCTCTGTTGGTCACTAACAGCTTTTGATATATTTTTTCACTCAGTCATAACCAGTGAGCAGTTTGGCAGTGTCCCTTTACCTGTCATATGGGCAGTTTGTGCTGCTCTTCACTGTCGTGTCATTTTTGTCACCAATCAGCCAGATGAATTCAGAGTCAGTCCTCAGCCGAATGTTCTTCCAGTGCTTTAGGGGAACGTAGCTACATCCAGCATTGAAGTCTCCCATGAAGATGAAGTTCTGGAAGGTAAGAGTTTTTTCAGAAGTTACCATGAGGACAGCTCTTCAAAAGAACACTGACAAGGACTTTTAAGGTCCATGGATGCTTCCAGTAGCCATTACAGCTCTAACAGCAGCCACTCCCTGAGTGCAGTGGGACTTCTCCTTTCTGCTGGGCACACCAGGGCATGCTGATAACAATCTTATTGGGAGATCAAATTTACTGTACAAAATGTGGAGAATTCAGTGAAAATACATCACAGAGATACTCAGAGCCTGGGTTTCATTATCAGTGTGTTTAAGGTTATCAGCTGTGAATAGTGAATAGCCTGCCAGGTGACTCTACCAAAGACCTCTTAGTAACACAGAGGTAGCAACCAACCTCGGTTTCCCAGCGCTGTTTGACATCTAAATACACATCGTAGAGCTCATCAATCTCCCGCACTGCAGTGTCTGGTGTGGTGTGCAGAGGGATTATAGCAAACTCATTGACAGCTTAAAAACAGGGCAGAAGAACAGAAAAAATGTAATGGTTAAACAGAGAATCAGTCACAAAGAAACAGAGACTGACTTGGAAGCAAGTTTTTTTTTTTTTCTCTCAGGAAGAAACAGGTTCTGTTCTGACTGTGGACCAGGGGCAATCTCTGTGTGGCTGCACAGTGTCCCCCTCCAGGCACTCAGCTGAGCCAGGGATGCTGTGCCAGTGCAGGCAAACCCTGATCAAGCACCCGTGGCAATCGCTGCTCCCACGGCCGTGCCAACGTCAGGGTGTGCATCCACCAGCCCACTGTCTGGGGCAGCAGAGGCTTTCCTGGGGCTGTGGCCTTTCCCAGACAGGCAAAATGCTGCTCTTGGAAGGAAAAGCAATGTGGGGTCTGGATGCGGCCCCTTGAGCCTTCCCTGACACACCTGGGTCCAGCCAGTGTTGCCTTGCTGACTCACCAGTGGGACAACGACACATTTCTGAGACATCTCACCGGTTTTTGGAGACTGGAACCAGATGACAAAGGGCTCTCTGGAGAAGACATCCTCGTCCCCAGGCTGGGTGTCAGGGTACTGGTAGGTTTGTTTCACCGATACCAGATGTTGCCTGCGGCAGAATGGACAGGATAGGGGATGTCGCGTTTGTGTCTCAATAGGACATGTCTAACACTGACTCCATGCTCTGACCCAGGTCATGGTCTGGGACAGATACAGCAACACAGGTGGCTGTGTCTGGGATGATCCCCACACCCGGGGACAACCCATCCCACCCACACAGCCTGCACCTCTCCAGCTCCCTCAGAGCAAAGACACCACCACATCCAGCCTGCCTCTGTGGGGCTGTGACCCAGAGGGCAGGATGAGAGCTGGCTTGCTGGCAAGGGGCCTCACTCACCTGTAGATGAAGATGTACTGCTCCTTGTAGCTGTTCCTGCCCAGCCTCTGGCTGGCAATGCACCTGTATTCCTCCTCTGGCTCCTTCAGGTGACTGGAAGGAAAGTGGTGTTCCTGAGTTCATTTCTGCACTCCAAAGGGGTTGAGAGGGAGGTAATTTTGCCTGTGCCCAAGGGTGTGGGACATTTCCTGCCTGACCTCAGATGCAGATGGGTTAAAAGACACTAAACTCTTCTCAAGAGCTGGCCCCTTTCTCCAGCGCTGGCTCTTTATTCCACCTTCTCCCTGCTCACTGCAGCCTCTGTCTGTCCTTCAGCTGGGTCTCATGTCCAGCCAGCCAAATGCTGCTGTTTTGTCTGGGCTGTCACTCCAGGCTGTCAATCCCTAATCTAAAGCAATTCCCAGCCCTGCAGGAAGGTGACTGTCCTGCTGCAGCCTGGTGCCAGCCTGGCAAGGGCATTTCCCCTCCTTTCTTTTTTCCTTTGGGAATTAATCTGTAGCAAATTGAATTTAACTTGGTTATACTGATTTTAAAATGTTTTCTACAGTGGTCTGGAGCTGGCTTTGTCCCTGTCCCTCAGCAAGACTGCCAGAGCCTGGCCCTTCCTCGATGCTGGGACAGAGCCCAAATCCTAAGATTTCGCCCCAGTAGGGTGACGCTGAGCAGAGCACAAGCTCTTGCCGAGCATCTTTCCCAAAATTTGCCCATTTGCCCTTGGCCACCCTACCTGGTGAGCTTCTCCACCAGGAGAGGACAAACGCGGTTCTTGTTGTCCTTTATTTCCATCAGCAACATGATGTCACAGCGAGAAATTATCTGCAAGGGGAAGAAGCAGGAGGAAGTTCACACGTGGGGGGTTTTGGAGGATTAGGAAGGGGTTAGAAAGAAATGGCTACTGGTGTGGGGGAAGTCCTCTGTGGAAGAAGCGCCACTCAGCTTGCGATCATGGGAGGGGAGCAGTGGCTGGAGAGAAGCTCTTCTGCTTTCAGAGCTGCTGCACGCCCCAGCATGAGCTGGGAGAGGAAACTCGGGAGCAGAGTGGTTTCAGATTTAGTGAAAAACTTCTGCACTTTCCCCCGAGGAGGAAGTGTGGAGGGTAAGGGGCAGAAAGAGCCACTGCTGTGAGCCTGATGCCCCCCTGCCACTGCTGGGGTGCTGCCACTGCCCAATCCCCTTTCCCTACCGTCAGCATTCACCTCTCCCAGTCTGTTGCAGACCCTCTGAAACAGCCCCTGGAGCCCAGAGCAACCTCCTCCCTGAAAACAGGGCTGCACAGCTCAGAGGGACGGTGGGGCTCAGCTCCTGCAGCTGCTGTTGGGATTCCCCACAGGAAAGCCCAGATCACACTCAGCCTAGCATGGTCAGGGGCTTCTCTCCACCCCTGGTTTCATTGTTCTTTAAACTTTGTGGGTGATTTCTGACAGAAAAAAAGCCCCTTTTTGCCAATTGTAACTTACCCATAATTACCTAAATTATCCATTAGTAGACACTGCCCACAGCGATGACAGTACAAGAAGAACGGTCTGGAAATGCAAAGCCCACACAAACCCCTCTTCTCTGGCAGTTTGCAATCAAAGGATTAAAACCCAACTGCATGGTGCCACTCCTCGCTGGTGCCATTCAGGACACAAAGCCGTGCCACTAACACCGAGCACCGCGATCTCCCTTACTGTGGCATCTTGGAGGGCACTTGCAAAAGTTAAAGTCTAAAATGTTGTCCTTTTAAAAGGCAGAGTTATCTTCAGCTGCTGCAGAGGAAGCCTGATGGTGAGGGTTTGCTCACATAAATTAGCAATTGTGCTTTTCAGATTTCTATCAGACTCTAATATGACAGATACTCTCTGCTGTCCTGAGAATAGGTTTAATTAGATGAGAATATTTCAGAATGATTAGCACATAAGGAAGTCAAATAATGTATCACAAAACAAAGCTCTGTGGATTCAAAGCGAAAATCACTTTTACTGTGCACTGAGGTTTTCCTCCTTTCCTAACTCCATTTTCCAAAGGAAACAGCAAATGTTGTTTCTGTTATATTCTCACTCAAGCTAAAATAACGGCAAACATCCTGTTCAACCACAGGCTGATTTTTACTTTCAGAGTACAATATTTCTTAAATTATGCACTCATTTTTTCACTTGAAAAGAAAAATAAAGTGGGAGATAAATAAAATGCAAGATTCCACAGCTAAGAAACACTCAGAAAACTCAGTGTCTCATCCAGGCAAACAAACGTACCTTTACCACGGCGTCGACGACTTCGGGTCTGGCTATTTTGGTTTCTCCGAAAGACCTCACATTGAAGGAACAAAGTTTTAAGCACAGAGATGGGTTGAAATTGAGGAGTGAAAGTAAGAAGAGGAGCAACATCTTGAGGGACTTGAGCAAAATGAGTTGCTGCCAGTGAGCCTATAAATATGTATGTGTGTGTGTTTATGCATCCGTCCCTCTGCGGCTGGTTGGGAGGTCAGATTGAGCAGTCAGCTGTATCCATCACAAACAGGAATCACCATTTCCTCCTTTCCTTCATTTCCATCTCCCAGCACAAAGCAGCATGGAGACTTTGAACTTCTTGCCTTGGGGGGAAAAGTGGCTCTGCTGAGCCAACCTCCCTGTCCTGGCAGAGCAACTGCTCAACCAGGACTCAGGATCCCTCCCCACAGAGAGACACCCATTGTGGGATGCCTGCCATGACTGAGCACTAGCTGGGACCACTCCAGGCAGTGCTGGGCCAGGACCAGGCTCCCTGGGCCAGTCCAAGCCCGAGGTCAAGACCAGGAGATGGATGGGGTAGATGGTGAGAGGGTCTGGGAAGCAGCAGGGGGTTCTGGAGGGCACCAGAAGCCCCATTGGAAGGGGCTGCAGGGCAGCCATGGGAAGATACGTGATGCCCCAACAATGTCCCTCAAACTCCTGGCCAGGTGTTCCCAGCACAGCAGTCTTGGTATGTGCATGTGGGTCTGGACTGTGCTGTGAGGTGGAAGGGCACAGATGAGTTTGGATAAAACAACACTTGAGTGAGGATACTACAGTTGGGATGGCTCGGCCACCAAAGTGGCTTCTGCAGGGAAACCATCCCCCTGCCCTCCCTTAATCCTCTGCCACATGTCAGCCCTCAGCCAGAGACACATTTTTGGCCCCCAATCAAGTATAATGGCAGGAGGTATAACAACAGGTCAAGCTAAATGACATATCTTTAAGCGTCTTGGATTTTTCTCCCAGTGCCTACAGGGTGCTTTCGTATCCTCCTTCCTTTCTCTGGGAACAGCCACGCAGCCTGCCTGCACCCCCAGTGCCCTGCCCACACAGCCACCCATGCAGGTCTGGATCCAGAGGCACCAGCCCACAGCTCCGAACACCATCTGAACCAACTGAACAGGCTCAGATGGAGCTGGCACAAAGTGCAGTTCATGGAGGGGCTCCCAAAGACACAGCACAGCTGAAAGCAGTGGGATCCAGGTCTTGCTGGGGAGGCAGCTGCAGCTCTCCAGGGACTGTGCTGCAGACGTTGGAATGGGCACCACAAATCCCTTCTGGCCAGACAGGGATTTGGAGCACGGGCTGCTGGCAAGGGGCACGCCACTGCACTGCCCCAGTGTTTGCTAACACAGAGCTAAGGGGAAGTGGGCATGTGACCCTCTGACATAACAGAGCTTGGGCACTGCTTCCTCTCTGCTGGGTCTCCCAGTGAGCTGGCCCCAGGCAGGACAGGCTCTGGAGAAAACTAATAAAGAGAGAGCGAAAATGAAGGTCTTAGGGGTTGTAAATCTCCCACTCGACCTTCCTGAAAGCACAGCCTGAGCTAAGGGCTTGCAACAGCAGCTGCAGCCTCGGGGTCAAAGTCATCAAAACCCGCAGCTGTCCCCAAAATGAGGCTTGTTTTGGCTACCCTGGCATCAAAGAGCAAATGTTTGTTGTGGTGCCCATGAAGGGTCCGACCCTGAACCGTGCCTGTCAGTGCTGTGTTTGTCCCCAGGGCTCCTGGCTTATCAGCCTCCCCTTGCCCCTCCACCTCAGGCGTTAGCAGGGGGACAGGCAGCGTCCAGGTGACCTGTGTAGGGGCACACGGGGAGCTCACACTCCTTTCTGCACCGCTTTATCTCCCTGTTTACTGCACTTTCTGTGTGTGTACTCTTTGCTCCTTATCAGACCATAAAACAGCCTCGATGGTGCGTGAACACTGACAGTTCAGGCCTGCCCTGCTCTTGAACAAGAGGGTGAAGCTGCTGGTGAAACCAGCACAGGTTGGGGTTTCTGTCCCTACATGGAATGATGTCAGGTGAGCAGCACCTGTGGGACATGCCTTAATAAAGCCCCTCCTCAGCCTCTCCCTCCTCCCAGGTGATGAGACTGGAAGCAATGCCAAAGCCAGTCTGGTTAAGAGCTCAGAGCAGTGAGTAGGTGCTGTCCTTCAGCCGAGCTTTGCTGACAGACCCCGCTGGGCGTGTGGTAGCTGTGGCTGGTACGTCGCTACCTCTGGGGCAGCAGTTCAGCCCTGCATCTTCTTTCTGCTCCCAAGGAGGTGCTGTGGGATGGATGGTGGGATGTGTGCCTGTGTAAGTGCCTGCTTAGGGTCCCCATGGGACACTGGGGTACGAGGGTCCAGCAGCGATGTGGGGGTTCCTCCTCTCCCTTCAGGCACAGACTCTTCCTTTTGGCCACGTCCTGGTTGCCCTTGGGTCACCCCCAAAATTGCTTTTCCTGGCAGAGATGGATCTCTGAGGTTTCCTGTGCCTTTCTGGGAGGGTTGTAGGCAGACACTGTGGTGTGAGCCCACATTCCCCCTGCTCTGGCAGAGGAAGCCTATTCTGGGCTTGAAGCGCCACGTGACTCACGGGGTGTTCAGTGAGGGGGAGCACCTATGGGGTGTGAGGTCACCCTGGGACTGTCCTGAAGCTTTATTTCTCCCCTGTGGGCGAGGCGTGGTGTCTCTGTGCTGGTCAGGGGTTTGATACCGCTGGGGTCACCAGTGCTGCTGTGTCCTTTCTACAAAGAGTGCAAAGGCTGGCCCACTCTGCCTGAGCCCTGGTCTGTTGGGGTGCCCCTGCTGCCCCACTGAACAGCCCCATTAGTCTGTCCCCCCCAAAGGGGAGCATGTGGCTCCAGGGAAGCACAAGCAGAATCACTTTCTTTTGGGCAAATGAAATGACCTTTGGATTCTTGGTGACCTTACCACAACCATCAGGCAGAGTATTTTATCTCAGTCTCCTGGAATTTCAGGTTAATAAGTACCAAACCACTGGGGCCATTTCATGTTTCTAAAGTTCATAGCTGGGCTGCAGACCAAATATGGTCATTTGGGAAGCAGCTTCAGTGCCAACATAATGGCAATAAGTGTCCTGGAATGACCCTCTGGAATCTTGGTGTAATGGAGGGTAAAAGTATTTGGTGCACAAGATACTTGGAATGTTTTGAATCAATTCTTTGATGCTTAATTTTTATTTATAATTCTGGAAGGTATGTTGTTCTATTTAATGACTGTTAGGGCATAATTCCTTTGCTGATCCAGGACTCTGATAGGGTTTTCTTTTCCAACTGTGTACGTCAGTATTGTTCAGCCAGTGGCGTGAAGCGTGACAGCGTGCCTGCTGTAAGGCGGGCCAAGGAAAAATGCCTCATCATGTTTTCAGTTTCTTGAATGAGGCTGTTTAGTTGAGCTGCAGGGCAGCACACGGTAATCTGAAATACAGGCTTTGATGCGTGACGAGGAGATGAGGCTTTGAAGTTATCCCTCTAGAAAGATGTTGCAGCCACCAAATAAGGCGGTTTTGTGACATTAAGTACACCTGCATTGTTAGCAGTGAAAGATGTAATTAAAATGTGTGTAATATATGCATTAACTTTGAGTAGATTTAAGAAGGTATTATTTAAAGCTATTAAATGGAAAGTAGGTCTGGCTTTATGATGCTTCAAAAGGTGGGAGCATGTGTTTGTCCCAGGTTGTGCAATGAAGCCACTGAAGAGTGACAGGGCAGCTGCTGAAAGCGGTGCCCAGGGGAGTTATTTACCCCTGTGCTCACTGGGAGCTGCTGTTTGCAAACTGGAGTGGGATCTTATCACTGTCCTGGGGGGTGAATTTTGGTAGCTGTGTGTTGCTAAAGTCTCACACTGCTTGGGGCATGGCAAGGCCTTCTTCAACAGCAGGTCCCACGCTGGGCTCTGGGGCACCCGCCTGCCCCACAGTCCCCCAGGGATCGCTTGTGGCACGGTGCCACAGGGCCACCACCACGTGAGTGGAAATAGATGGGGACTCGTCACCCTGGGAAAGATGATTCACCTCACCAAAGCAGTGTGCCGTCACTTGTTATGATTACAAACAGCCTCACCATGTGCCCTGGGGATCCATCACCCAGCAGGGGGAAATAATATGGAAACTTTTCATCTGGTGGAGCAATGCTGCTGCTCAGCTTGGTGAGGCACAAGCTGGAGGTCTCCACAGCTACCCTGGCCTGAATCCAACCAGAGCTTCCACCTTCCTATGGAAAACAAGATTGTTTACATGAAAGTCTTGCTGACTGGTTTCTGCCACGGGACAGCTAATTCTGATTATTTTTAACTTTTTTTTATCCTCTGGTTGCTCTGATTTACAGAGACATTTTGTTTCTAAGTGGATCATAAGTCATTGTTGTGGTCATCCTATGTCCTGCTCACAGCACCAAAGCTGTGCTCTTGTGCTGGTGGGAAGCTCAGCTTCTGACCCTGGCACTGGGAATGAGTAATTTTCCACTGAGGGCCAGGAGAGCTGGCGCTGGGCTCCAAAATGCCAGCAGCCTTGAGGGGTGACGCAGGGGTGACTCGGTCCTCACCAGCTGCCGCATTTGTGTGATGAGTTGTGTCTGTGGGCTGAGAGGAAAAACAAAATTCATGGAACAGGTCAGTGCAGGCACTGGCCTTTAAATTAGGCTTGCCACAGCACAGCCACCCCAAGCATGGCCTCACAGGGTCTGAGGAGGTGTCCTTAGGAGCTCATCTGCTCCCTGTGGGGACAGGGAGCCCAGCTGTGCCCTGTGCCCTCCCCACAGCCTCCCACGCCATTTGGAGAGTCCAAGGTCTCTTCCACTTTGCTGGGACAGAGGATCAGCCTCTGCCTAGCAAAGTCATCACAGCATTGCAGACTGCCTCACCAGGGCTGTGACCTGTTGAAGCTGTTGCCTCATCCCAACAGTGGTTGGCTCGGGACAGCCCTGATGATCCCTCCTTTCCCCGTTGCCAGTGAAGGAGTCTCCCAGTGACTCTTCCCTGTGGCTGCACGCTGAGATTGCAAGAGCAGGTTCCCTGGTTGGCTCATGCCGTGTTTCTACATGAAACCACTGCAAGCCTCTCCTTCAGCTTCTCTATTTTAAGGGCCATAATTTGCCATGACTATATCGAGGGACTTCCCACCAGGTGGCCTGGAATAGCCATCGGGTGGGTAATCCATCCGTGGAGTGAGTCAGTGCTGCCCTGCACGTGTCCCACGGGAGCCTTTGGCCATGCACGAGAAAGTTGAACAAACAAATGCGACTGTAAACAATGTCTGGAGGGATGTGAAATACCTCCCATGTCCGATTAGGTCACTTTAGCGGAAGCGCAGCTTTGTTTAGCCCAGCTTGACTGGGAAGCTCTTTAAAGAAAACCCAAAACAGGCTGTGCCTCACCTTCACCAGGCCACCTAAACCCCTTGATTTTAGTTGTAAATCTCTTCTAACAGCTCATGTTATCAAAAGTTTATGGTTATCGTAGTAAACTCTGACCCGGGAAGCCATTTATACCAGTTATCTCATGTCTCCTAGCCTGGCAGACCAAAAGGACATCCCTTATCAAAGCACAGGTGGGGTGAGGATTTGACCCAATTTGCATTTACTCAGGAGCTGATCTCATTTCCAATTTAATTAAGTTTTCTCAGATTTTTTGGCCTATCTTCAAGGTACACACCAGTCTGATATATGACCCAAGGGGAATGAACATAAATTGCTTATAGCAAAAGGATTCGGGTGGCAGTTTTAAATTAAAACAGAGCAGATTTTAAATGCAGGTTGAAATGCAGCTTCTGAGAGCAAGCAGTGTCATCTGTTGGGAAGAGAGAGCAGGTAACAGGCTTGTAACCTAAATGGCAGACTTACTTTCATACCTGAAATGGGACTTTTATCAGTGGGATGCTCTGATTTCAACCTTTGTGCCCTTTCCACAGGAAAGAGGGCAGATCTTTGTGCTCCCTGATCACAGCCCACACCAGGACCTGGGAAGGGGACAGCTGTCCCCCATTCCCGTTCTTGCTCCCAGGCCTGGTGCAAGGGGGCTGTGAGGTCTCCCTGTGGGGTGCAGCACTGCATTCCCCTTCGTATCTCTGTGGCAGTCGTCTTGCATCCCCTTTACCTCCCTGTTGTAACCCCTATTGTATCCGCCCTTGTATCTTCTTGTTGTAACCCTGTTGCTGCCATTATCAAATTCCCTTTTTTATTCCTGTTGCATCCCCATGGCAACCCCATTGTATAACTTCTGTAATCTCATTGGATCTTCCTTGAATCCCTGCTGTGTGTCCCTTGCATACCCCCATCCATCTTTGTTGTATCCCTGTTGTAACTGCATACCCCAATGTACCCCCTGCACACCCTAAATCAACTACAGCCTTCCCTTGCACCCCCACTTGTCGCATCAAATCCCTCTGTTGCCACTCTGTATCCCCCCTTGCACCTCATTGTAGCCCCTCTTCCGTCCCTCTTATACCACATCTTATATCCCACCTTGCATCCCAGTTATGTACCACACGCATTCCCACTGCAGTCCAGTTTCATTCCCCTGCTGCCACCCCACCGAATTCCCATTATATCTCCCTTTACAGCTCCACTGCATCCCCCCACTGCACCCCACTTTTCACCCCTGTTCCCTCCCATGGGAACCCCATTACTTCTCCCCTTGCACTCTTTTGCAGCTTCACTGCACCCTCCCCTTGCACCTCCACTGACGTCCCTTCGCACCCCCCCACTGTAGCCACCTTGTAGCCCCTGTGCACCCCCATTACACCCCACCTGCAGCCCCCCACTGCACCTCCCTTCCACCCCTGTGGCAATCCTCCTTGTACCCTCATGGAAGTCCCATTACGTTCCCCACTTGTACTCCCACCACGGTCCTATTTCATCCTTCCTTGAGCTTCCATTAATGTCCCTTTACACGCCCCCACTGTAGCCACCTTTCAGCCCTTGGGCACCCCGGTTATAACCCCAAAGCCGCCCTATTACATCCCCCCTTGCACCGCGTTGCAGCCCTCCCTTCCCCCCCTATTTCATGGCCCTTTCACCCCGGCTGTATCCCGCCTATCCCCCCTCGGCATCCCGCCCCGCGGAGCCGCATCCCCGCCTCTCGCTGCGCCCCGCGGAGCCGCACCGGCGCTGGGGGAGGGCGCAGCGGAGCCGCCGCGTTTCGCCGCTCGGCGCTGCCATTACGGCTCGGCTCGGCTCGGCTCGGCACGGTGAGAGGCGGGGGGGGGGGGGGGGGGGGGGGGGGGGGGGGGGGGGGGGGGGGGGGGGGGGGGGGGGGGGGGGGGGGGGGGGGGGGGGGGCGGGATGCGGGGCTGAGAGCAGCAGTGACAGAACCGGGGGGCGACCGAGGGGGCAGCCGTTCCCGCGTCCGGTCTCCCCGCTCCCCTCCCTGGCGGTGGGCTGGAGACCGGGAGCAAAGCCAAAAATGCAAGAACTAATTTCAGATGTATATTTCCAAAGATTTAATTAATTTGTCTTTAAATTCTCCCCCTCTCCAACGATTAATCATCTGATGGCACGGGGGTTGGAACAAGATGATCTTTAAGGCCCCTTCCAACCCAAACCGTTCTATGATACTACACGATTCTGTGTTCTCGGCTGCTGCTGTTTGGAGGATGCTGTCATTTGGCTGGAGGAGGATGCTTTGGGTGGGGGGAGGAGGAACTTTGTGCTGGGAGAAGGGGCCGGGATGTGGCTCCCGGATACTCCTACCCCATCCCTCCCCAACCCTTTCCTACCCCCCCACCCCCACATTCGCCAGGAGAGGGCTGAGTCCGGGCGCGCTCGTGACATCGGCTGTGCCGTGCATGCCCCGCTGCGTGCGTGTGCGGCAGGATGAGGATGGCGACGGGGTCCGGAAGGAGGATGTGCACGTTATGAATTTCTAAAACAGCAGCTGGCTGGCAGCACAGCCTCCTTCGGTCGTGCTTTTCATCCACCTTGTCCCCAGGCTGGCTGGCAGTGACACAGAGCTCGTCCCTGCACATTCCCAGCCTGGGGTGAAGCAGCGGGGTCGGGGGCCAGCCCGGACTCTCCAGCTCATGTTTGAGCCATGTTGCATAGATACAAATGTGTCAGAGATACATGTTTTGTGAAATGGTGCTGCAGAAATAATGACCTCATTTCTGCCATCTATAAATAAATGAAGGTGAAAGGGCGCATTTCCTACTCTCGTCTCACTCTGGAGGCTGGATTAAGATTGAGAGCTGTCTGGCTGACAGACAGAGATCATTCACTAATAGATATTAAACTACGACTTCACTGTGATTGGCATCTAAAGGATCACCCAGCAAACTACACCACTGGAGAATTGTTATATTAGTTATGTCATCATTTACGGTCAATATTATTTTTCTGGCTGCTGAGGATGCCAAGGGTAAGGCAGTTTCAAAGGGAAAGGCGTCACTTGCATGTTTTGGGTTTTATTTCTTACATAGTTAGTAGTGTGAGTTGATGTTTCTGGGGGCCACATCTCAATCACTGAGGTCCCTCAAAGCTCCCCGCTTCTGCAGTGGGATCTGAAAATGGGTTGATATTTTTTCTTTTTCAAATCTTAAAAGAAAAAATAACATATACCTAAATGTGCTGCTTAGATTTCAGCTCCTTGGTGATTTAACTCTGTTGTCAGTCAGACATAGACTGCCCTGGGTGCAGGTGGGGTAAGCAAAACCTTGGGTGCAGGGCAGTCCCAATGAGTACAGCCCAGGACAACCTTTGTGCTTGAATGTTGGCATGTCTGGTCAGCGAGGGCACAGGTGTCTTTCCTGTGTTGTGAAATCCCTCCTTGGTCTTGCTCAGGGCTGCCCAGCATCTGCTGCCACTCTCCTCTTCCAACCCAGCTCCACCTTAGGATGGTTTTTGTGCTGCTGCTGCTTCTGCATCCTACGTGGGGCTTGGAAAAAATCAATAGATACACTTGAGCTGCACTGTTGGGTCTTCTCCAGACTTTCTGATATGGCCCACTCAGCTTGAAAGAGAAAAAATACTTTTGTGCCATGGCCTTGGGGACTGTTGTCAACATGCTGTCCTCTGTAGCAACCCACAGCCCCCTCCTGCCTGGCCCTTCTGCAGGTGATGAGGCTCCTGTTTGAATTTTGCACAGGGTAGGAAGTAGGAAGTAAGTGGAGATGTAGAGCCTCCCCTTAGTATCTGTCCCTGGACCATCCTTGGGTGCCTTTTTTGAGGGGTCCTCCCAGACGGGACACAGTGGTTAGTGACTGTCATTCAGCTGTCAGTGTGGGAACCTGTGCTGCTGGTTTGGAATCCCGTGCCCTGCCAGGTGCACAACAAGCTTGACATTATCACCAGGTGATCTGTTACCGCCATGATCATATGCCATTTATCAGAGTTGCCTAATTGATGTTTGCAATTTGTGAAATACTTGGAGATCCTTCTGAGAAGTGGTAACAACACTTGGGACCACTTGCTGTGACTCTTGGTCACAGGGCACCTCAAGGTGATGAATGAGCTGTGATCTGAAGACTTGCAGCTGTTACCAGGGAGCTTGCCTTTATTTTTAAGTCCGCAGTGTCTCAAGCTGGTAGCGAAGGACCGGCGCAGCACGGACGGCGATCATCCCCTGGGCACAGCACCATCGCAGGGGGCTGGCACTGTGGGTACTCCCACAAGGCTTTCGGGAGCCGCTGTCCCTGCAGCGCTGCCGGGTGCAGAGGTGGCTTTATGGGGCTGGGGTTGCTGGGGACTGTGGTGATGGTGTGGCTGCCGCTGAGTGCACAGCTAGGCCTGCTGGCATTTTGCTTCCCGCTGCCTCCATCGGAGGTAGCCATTGAGACCAGTGGCGATGCTCTGCCCACGCGGAAGGAGGCTCAGCAGCATCCTCGCCCCCGGGCACCCGTGGCCAGCAGGGGCCCCGAGCGGGGATGGCTGGGTGCGCAGGGCCGGCATTGGGCGCCGGGGCTCACGTGGTGAGCGGTGTCTGCCGCGGCCCCGCCGAAACGCTCCGGCACGGTGGGGACGGGAGACCCCCGGGATGCCCCGACCCTGTGGCCGTGGCAGTGGTGAGGGACGGGGGGATATCTCTCAGGGGTTTTCTGGCTCTCGTGCTGGGTGGCTTCGGTGCTCCCACTGATCCTCCACCGTGCATTTCCACGGCCAAAATCTGCCTGCGAGTTCAGGCCAGCGTTTTCCCTGCCTCTCCAGTAATTTCCTGCGGCTGCGCCGCGCTTCAGCCAGTCTCACACAGGGAAGCGGGGGGGCACGGAGGGCGCTTGGAAAAGTACCTTTAAGACGAAGAGGAAGGGGAAGCGAAGCTGCTTAGCGGGCTTTGTTCTAATAGCAGTAATCACCTGAAGGGCGACCGTGAGCCCACGCCGCCGGGTCCGCGCAGCCCCGGCCCTCCCCGCCGCGCCGCCCCGGCCCTGCTTCCTTCCCGATGGCCGCCTGCACTTTGCTCCTGCTTGGCACGAGTGCGCTCGACTGGCTTTATTGTATCCTCCATTACATAAATGGGGGAAAGGTTGGTCAGAAGGTGAATATGAGGCGTCTTGAAGGGAAGCTGGTGACTTAAATACTCTGAACTCGCCGGGCTGCTTGAGCCTGAAGGGAGGAGGAAAAGCAGGACTGCGATTTTGACCTTGTTTTTTTTCCCCTCTTCTGACAGTTTGTTCAGACACTGCCGCTGCCCACAGCGAGCAGGACTTGTGCCGAGAGGAGGAGGGGAACTCTGCAAGGTAAGCCGGGCTTTTTAAGGTTGTCTGCTGCTTGTATTGCTTTCTAAAAGCGGTGGTGGAGGTGGAGGTAGAGGTGGCGACCCCGCGCCAGGGAGCTCAGGGATTCCCACCGCCTCCGCTTTTCCTGCCTGCAGCCTTCTGTCGTTACGGGTCACCGGTGGGAACAATGGCGATTTTCTGTGCTTAATTTCTGCCCTGTGTTAGTGATGTAGCGAAAGGCAGCGAGCGCTCGGTGGTGGCCTCTCGGGCAGCCCTGCTCCCACGGACAAGGTTTATCGGTTGCACAAGGTGTTTATCTATGAATAAGCCGTGCTGACATCAAGGATCTTTCTTCAAAATGTTTATTAAGCGACTAACGGCGTGTTGTTGTGGCTTGAAGGCGGAAATGAGGTTTAGCTTTGTTAAGGAGGTGCCTGGTGTGGAAATATTTACAGTCTTCCTCGAATTTCAGTTGTTCCTATTTTCCCTGGGGGAAGAGGGCAAATCTGGCTGATGCTTCAGAAGTTCTGTAAGCCGTTTCTCTTGGGGGTTCGATGTGGTCCAGTGTGAGGGTGTCTGGGGGCAGGAGGCTGTGACTGTGGTGATTCTGTTCCTGTTTCGTGGCATAACATGCCATATACCACCGGGAGTCTTGCAGGAAGTAGGGATAACTCTCCCCGTCCTGGCAGGCAGAAACGTGAGGGTGGTGATGGGGGGTGGGCAGCTGGTGGGAACAAAGGCGTTGAGGATGTTTTGTTTTATTAATGTGGTATAAAAGTTCTGAGGAAAGAGCGAGCCACGAATTGGTTAGCAGGGGGAATTAGAGGAGATGAGTGTGTGGCAGCATTTAATCTCTTAATGAGAAAAATATCTCCCAGCTGCCTGCCGTGGGGAGAGTTCAGGGACAAGCAAGGCACTGTGTGGGAGCTTGCCCTTGCACCCAGTGTCCTCTGCCTGCTGTCCCTGATATTTATCTGAAGGATGCTGGGGAGCTGGGATAGGCACCTGTAATCCACATCAACTGCAAAATGTGGGGCAGAAGCGAGGATGTGGGGGTGGGGATGGGGATAAATTTGTCTCAGATAAGGGCTGGTCACCAAAGAGTGCCCTGCCAAGTTATTTCCTTCAGTTTCCGAGAACATTAATAGGCTCTGCTTCCTTGATTAGTTGGTGTCTGTGCAGAGCGATAATGAGAGCTGGGCTCAACCCATCAATTCTAGGTCAGTGGTTGTGTGCTGGGGATTTGGGATTGGGCAGGGGGAGGGGAGAAGGAGCTGGACGCCTGTCTCCAAAAAGAAATGTGGAGCCTGCCTTAAGCCAGCCCTGCCTGCACCCAATCAGGGGGAAAAGGCTGCCTGCACCCATGGTGGGGGGAAAGGCTGCCTGCACCCATCGGGGGGCTGTGCTTCCTGTGTCTGCAAAGTGTCCCAAGGGCCGTATTGATACCTGTCACCTTTGACATGTTCCATTCCTGTTAGGAGGTCCATTGCCCTTTTGTGATGTGCTCTGCTGAGAGGATAACATTGCAATAATTAGATCCATTAAGGAGCCAGAAGAAATAATGGGGTTTTAAAACTTAAGAAGACTTTGCTGTGCTCCTGAGCATTATTCTCTGCCTCTTGCAGAGCCACTTTCCTCTTCACTTGGCAGCAGAGTTCTCATCTAGCATTGACTTGTCATCGTTTCTGGGGGTTAACCTGTGATCCTTCCCTAAACGCAGGCAGGTGAGGCTGGGTGGTGAAGAGCAGCATGGACCTGGATGTGCTGAACATGTTTGTCATCGCCGGTGGCACCCTGGCTATCCCCATCCTGGCCTTCGTGGCCTCGTTCCTCCTGTGGCCCTCAGCACTTATCCGCATCTACTACTGGTGAGTTCCCGAGCCCGGCTGCTCTCCGTGTGGCACAGGGGTGGAACGGCTGCTGTTCCCAGCAGGTCCCCACATGCACACAGGTGCATGGTGGTGTGCATGGAGGTGGATGTTGCTGTGAGTAGCTTTAAGCATCTCTGTAGGAAGAAAATGTCGTTTTCTTATTGCATTTTTTGCTGTGCAGGCTTACATCTGTTAGGATTGCTCTGGCCCCTGCTGTCCCAGGGCTTTGGCTGGACTGTGTCAAGGGGCTCTTGGCCCAGCTGCCACTGCAGTGCCAGCTTGCAGGAGCTCTCCAAATCTTTCTGGGTTGTTTCCCCGAAGGACAGGACTGTGGCTGAAAAAAGCACAGTTTCCTGTCCCCCAGCCTGGCAGCCCTGGCAGTCTGGTGACCTCCCACCTCATCAATGTGGCCATGGTGTGGGTGTCCCCATGCTCACATGCTCCCTTCCCTGCTCAGCAGGCAAAGGCTTTTCTCTCACTAGTAGTTACAGACAAGGCTTTTCTCATCTCCTCTTCTTCTGGAATGGATCATCAGAGGGGATGGGACGATGCTTTTCCTTACACCCTTGCATCTTGTCCTTTCTGATTACCAGGAGGCAGGCACTACATCCATCAGTCCTCCTTTGTCCCTGGAAATCAGTGATAAGCACTCTGGCAGCTTTCCTCTCTGGGTTTGTTGCAGGGAAAAGCTGGAATAAGTCCTCAGAAGTGAAGGCAGAGTCTCATCACCCAGCACGGAGCAGGCAGCAGCGGGCAGAGTGGGCAGAATAGGCAGAGCAGGCAGCACATCAGGCTGCCCTCACATGCTGCTGGCAGATGGTGGCTTCTGCAGTCCAGCTCATGGGGTGTTCCTAAATCCAAGTGACCTCCTGTGAAAGGAAAATTTTGCCCACTGCGGCACTCAGATGATGCCTGTTTCTAATGGCACTTTAATTAACAGGCTTTTATTCACAGTACCTGAGGCTGATAAGAGGAGAGGGCATGGAATGAAAACCCCAGGAATGGCATTGTCGTTCTGCAAAGGAGAGCAGGTGGTGTGACAACCTTCTGTGTCACAGATGTCCAAGTGGTATCAGGTTTGGCAGTCAAACTGGTTTTTCTCTCTGGATATATGAGCAGCTGCTGGAAGCCAGGGCAGACTCTAATGGGTTGAGGTTCCAAGGAAGATCCCTGGAGAAACTGCTGCAGCAGAGCTGAGTGAGTGTGGTCAGGGCAAAGCCTTCTATGGCCACAAGCAGGGGTGGCAGGACAGGGCAAAGGAGGTGCAGGGGCTCATGCCGGGAGCTTGGAGGAGCCAGGGTGAGAGGGAGGTAGAGTACCCTCTGCTTCTTTTGTTCTTTTTGGTTACAGATCAGGAACCGGGTGAAAATGCATTGGGGGCAAGTTGGTCTGTGTTTGGCTGAGGGAAGGGAGTGTGTGAGCAGGGATCAGAAGGGCTGTCTTTTTTTGAAGGGTATGGTGCCCCCATCTCTCTCTCTCCCAGCATTTCTGGCAGTACAGGCATCTTGCAGGAGTAACTGCAGTGCCCTGTGTGTCATGATCACCTCTTTTGTTAGGGACAGTGGGCGAGAAGGTAGATTTGCTCTTTACTCTTCCTTTCTTATTGGCTTCTTTTTAAATTGGCCTTTTTTTGGGGGGTGAAATCACTGATTTTCCCCATCAGCAGAGGCAGGAGAGGGGCAGACAGAATGCCATACTGCCCTCCCCTTCCAGCCCCATGCAGCTCCAGCTCTGCGGCACTGCTCCTGGGAGATCCCTGGGAGGTCCCAGGGGATGCTTCTCCCTTCTCCCACAGTTCCCTGGCCCCTCCTCCTCCTCCTCTTTGTTGCTGGTCTGCAGTGTCCTCAGCCGGTGCAGTCAAGGGTCATGCTGGGTCCCCCTTGCCCGTGGTCTCACTGCTTTCCCTGCTGCTAATGCGCCTCCTTGCCTGGCACGATGTCCAGGGCTGCCCCACTGACCCGGCCTGGAGCTGCTCTGCCTGTGCTGTGACAGGGGTTAATCAGTTTAGCCACTGCCACTAAGCGAGTTAACACCTTGTTGGGGGATCAGTTCAGCTTTGCACAGATTATTTTGCCTTCTGCTGAATTGATCCATTAGGATCAGTTGCTAAAAATGTTATCATCTTGCCCATCGGTAGTTCACGCCAGTGCTTTTGAGGCAAGGACTCTTAAGACACTTATTAGGGAGAAATTCACCTCTCCTTGTAGGACCAGCACTGAGCCAAGATGCTGCTTAAGTCCCACTAGCTCCCTCGAGAAAGGGATTATGCTAAAAGAGGATTTCACTATGCATAAGCTTTGAGTGGGCAGAGAGGTAGGACAGTCCAGACATGTTGGTGACCTTGTGCTTGTGTCTTAAATAAATTCTGGTAGAACATATATTTTTCCAGTGTCTTGGCTATCAGGAGTAGCCCAGTAGTTGTCCTGACAAGGGTTATGTTTGAGCATAGGGGAAATGCAGAACAAGAGAGCCTGCTCTCTGTCTTGGGCCGCACGTCCACATCATGTGTCCAAAGTGTCACCGATAATCTCTGTCCAGGTCCTTCTGGCCGGCAGTTTCACTGCATCCTCTGAACTGCAAGAGTGTGCTGGCAGGAACTGTCCCCCTGTGCTTTCAGAGGGACAAACCTGTGGTTAGCCTGGTATCTCCTAGGGTGTCAGACCCTGTGTAAGGATGGTCCCCTCCAGTCCTTTGTGGGTATATAAATACATTTTTAAATGTTGTGTAGCTGGTCCATATGAACCAGGTTCTCCCTGGCTGGTGCTCCCAGGTGACAGTGATATTTTGGCTGGTGTGCTTGTCTGTGGGCTGATGTTCTCCCATTGATGCAGGACTGTGTCTAAATAACTCTGTGACAGATCCTCCTTACCCACCTGGAAGAACCACTTCCCTTGACCTGCCAGCCCTGCATGCTGCCTTGCCGTGTATGCTGCCTCTCCCTGGGGTCTCTCTCCTCAGACCAATCTTTGGGTGTTTTCAGTTTTACAATTGTCATTTTGGCCCATTTCCATTGCCAAAGAGTTATTCAGGGCCTTTTTAAAAACTCTTTACAGACAAAGTGTCCCCACAAACCACTTGCAGTGCAGCCATGAATAGCCAGCCACTAGTACTACACCTGTAAGGGATCGTATGGAAGCACAGGACCTGGTCCAGGGACCTGATATTCGGATTAGTCCCAGTAGTCTCATGATGGCACCAGCGTGACCCCAGCCTAACTAGCCTTAGCAAGCCATCTGTGGCTGCATTTGGATTGTCACCTGGCTTATATCGTGGCTGGGCCCTGGTCTTGTCTTGCTCACTGGTGTTTTCTCCTCATTTTCAGGTACTGGCGCCGAGCCTTGGGCATGCAGGTTAGATATGCGAACTACGATGACTATCAGTTTTGTTATTCCTATAGAGGAAGACCTGGATACCGACCGTCCATCCTGATGCTACATGGGTTCTCAGCCCACAAAGACATGTGGCTGTCCATAGTCAAGGTGGGACTCCATTTCTGTCATGGTGCTCCTTAGTGAGAATTGATGGCCCTGGGTTTGGAGGCAGCGTGGGGACCCAATGGGTGCATGCATGGGATGGGTTGATTGCGGTAGCATGTTAGGAACACCCTCCTTAGCTCCATGCTCATTGCTTGTTGGATTCCTTCATCCCTGTGACATGCAGAGCTGCCAGGGAACCTGCTGCCTCTATGGGAAGCCAGTCTTGGCCGTGCTTTCTCATCATGTCATCCCTGCTACATGAGCTGACTTACGCTGATGCACAAGTAACTGGGGCTGCTAGGAGGGGAACAACCCCCCTGCTCCCACCCATGGTCACCACTTTCCACCCCTGGGCTTTGCAGCTGTTTCCCTGCACCATAACCATCCCTGGTTTGTTTCTGCAGTTCCTGCCAAAGAACCTGCACTTGGTGTGTGTGGATATGCCCGGGCACGAGGGCACAACCCGCTCAGACTTGGATGATTACTCCATCAGTGGGCAAGCTAAGAGAATACACCAGGTAAAGCCCTAGCATTGTATTGGCTCTGCAGAGGAATGTGGGGACGTGGGCGACACGAGGGAGGTGGGGACGTGAGGGATGCTGAGCCCTGTGAGTCCTGCATTGTGCAGCCCTGCTCTCTCCCTTCACAGGCAGCCAGAGCCTCAAGCTTTTGAGTAGAATTTCTCTAATGACCCCACGCTTTTGTTTCCTCTCCCCTAACAACGCTCCTTCTGCTCCCTGCCAGTTCGTGGAGTGCATCAAGCTGAACAGAAGGCCCTTTCATCTGGTTGGCACTTCCATGGGGGGAAATGTTGCTGGTGTCTATGCTGCTCAGTACCCAGAAGATGTTTGCAGCCTGACCCTCATCTGTCCTGCAGGTGGGCAAGGCAGAGAGTCAAGACAGGGAGAGAGCAATCAGGAGCCAGTGCAGAAACCCAGGGCAGTGCTGGAGACAGAAGAGGGGTTTAGTGCAAAGCATTTTAAAATAATTTGTATTTTCAGTTTGGAAATCTCTGGCAGGGCATGGGAGAAAATCACAGCCTTGTACTTAGTGCTCTTTTCCAGGGGTTTGGCGTTTGCCCCACTGTGCCTTGGTTAGAGTTGGGACTAGGTCAAACAGGACAGGAAAATGCCTTTTCCCTTGGGATGGCAGACATTTTACATGGCATGTCTGCACCTTCTCAGTTCTGGAGAGGGAACCAAGACTGCAATAGGAAAAGCCTTCCCAACCTGGCCTCCTGAAAGCCCTGGTGTGCTGGAGGGCTGATTCTTTGGGAGCTGGAGAGCTCTGACCTCCCACCTTTGGGTTCTTTGAGTGAAAAGAGCACTTCAGCACTGGGCACACGTCAGCGAGGTGTTCCTGTGCCTGCACTGCACCCCTCCATCCCCCCATTCCCACCATCCCCTTCCTCCCCACCATCCCCTGGACGGGGTGCTCAGGGGAGCCTGGGCATGACATGCTGCAGGAGGCACTGGGGGCAGGGAGCTTCTCTGGCGGGAAGGGCTTTGCTGCATCCCAGTTGTTAGAGCAGCTCCTTCCCCCTCCCACGCAAGGAAAGCGGCTTCCAAATAAGAACTAAGGAATGAAGCAAGGCAAACGTTACCTAGTTACCAGGCTCTGGGGGCGTCAGGGTTCCCACTCCCCTCTGGGAGAGGTGTCAACTGACTCTCCGGCTCTTTCTTCGTGTAAAACCTCTGTGTGGGGGCTGCAGCAACGTTTGGGATTGTTGCCAGGGGATTTTTCCCTCAGTGGTGCATGCAGATAGGGCTGCTGACATTTTCTGTCCAATGCTGTGCAATGGCAGCCTGGGCATCAGGGTTTGCATCTGCTGACCACATAAAAATAGGTGCTATAGCTTTTACTGAAGTACTCATGCATGTCTACAGGGAATACACCTCGTGTTGTGTCAGCCTATGGGTTTGGGGGTCCCTGGAGCAGGAGGGAGGTTAGGGTATCTCTGGGTGCATAATGAGGTTGCTGTACGAACAGATATTTTCTTCCTCACTTTTTTATATTTTTTTAATGAGTGAGCAGGCAGGAAGCCAGAGGCAGGGACGAGGGAGGTCAGCACAGGGATGTTTTGTTGCTTGGGCTGTTGGGGGGTCTCGTCTGGGTTTTAGCTCATGCCCCCCTTCTCATTTTGCCCAGGCCTGCCAAGTACCACCGACAGCAAGTTCATTAAGCAGCTTCGGGAGATGCAGGAGTCCAAACGTATTGACAGGATCCCTTTAATCCCCTCAACGCCCGAGGAGATGGCGGATATGCTGAAGCTTTGCTCCTACGTTCGCTTCAAGGTGCCACAGCAGGTGAGAAGCCGATGCTGCAGTGGCTGGGAAAGGGGGCTTGGAGGTGGTGAGGGGGTTTGCTTCCCCCTGAGCCTGCAGGGTGGCAGCTGAAGTGGTGTGGGGAGTGGAACTGGAGCTGCCGTCCCTGCCATCACCCAGAGGAGACACCCTTGGCCCCACTCCCAGCACCTTTCCAGCACTTTCCCTTCAAACCCACTTTTCCGAGCTCCCTCTGGCAGTGTCCACTGGAATTCCTCCTCCCATGAAGTTTTTGGCAGCAGGCTGCGGTGTAGAAGGGTTTTTTAGTAAATATGGCCGGCAGGAAGCATTAAATAGCTAAGGCAGCTGTTGTCCGGAGCAGAGAGGGATTGTTTGCTGCTTTTTAAGTAAAAGCCATGGAAATGTTAATTGCCTATTGTCAGGCGACAGGAACTTGGCGAAGGGCTGGCTCTTAGGTTAGTTTTCCTTAGGAAGTCTGGGATGAGTAGATTGGAGAGTAAGAAAAATTTTAAGTCTATTCTTTTGGGGTTTGGGGAAAAAAAATACAAAAAAGAAGAAAAGTGCAGTCACGGCCGAGGTGGCTGCTTGCCAGGGGGAGAAATTGTATCTGCATCACAGCAGACAAAATTACTTGTTGCTGAAATATATGTTGCTTAAGTGGGGTTTCAACAGTCCCACATGCTTAGGAAGAAGCTCATGCTGGGGCCAGGCTTGTGCAGGGCATGTTGGGGTATCGGGGGCTGCTCTCAGGTGCTGTTGGGCATGCTTAGCCCTGTGTGGGGCACATGTCCCCTTTAGCAGCTCTCCTCTGCTCTTCCTGCAGATCCTCCAGGGCCTCGTTGACGTTCGCATCCCACACAATGAATTTTACCGGAAATGTAAGTGCGTGGCGGCAGCCTCCTCACCAGGCTTTCCAGCAGGATCCCCAGGGTGTGGGGATGGGCTGTCCCCAGCCCCCATGTCCCCTGCACACTGCCTGTCCCCAGCACCCCTCTGCTGCCTTGCTGAGGGTGGGAAGGAGCAACATCATTAACAGATTTGGGGACATGCCTTGGTCACTGGTAGCAATGCGCTGCCACCCCCACTGCCACCCCCACAGGTAATGGGGTCACTGGTTCACCCTCACCATCCCATATGAGTTAACAGTGCCCACGAGGAGATGGTTTGGTGGAGGGGCCCGCTGCAGCTGGGCTTGGTGGCCAGGCACGGACAGACTGTCACCATTGCATGGGTTTCCCAGTGAGGGAACGCTGACAGGACTGGCCCACAGGGACCCCTTTGAGAATGGGAGGCAAAACATCTCCCATGTAGGACTGACTCTCCTTTTGCCCTACTAGTGTTTTTAGAAATTGTGGATGAAAAGTCAAGGCACTCTCTCCATGAGAACATGAGCAAGATCAAAGCGCCGACACAGGTCATCTGGGGAAAGCAGGACCAGGTATGCAGGACCCTCCTCATCCCCCATGGACCATGTCTCCATCTCTGCCTGTGCCCACCCACGGGGGCTGTGCTGTGGAGCTGTGCACTGCTGTGCAGGGAGCTGGCACTGTGTGTCCCTGTCCCTGGTGGCTTTGGGCAGGGGGGCTTGGCAGGGAGATGGGCAGAAAGCTGACAGTCAGCTTTCCAGAGAGAGGAAAGGGCAGAGCTGGGGCTGGGGAGGGCACGGGGGCAGGTGGATGGGTAGGTGCCAGCACCAAATCTGGGAAGAGGAATGAAGTATCAGCAAAGAGAGTTGTCCTGGCAACTGGGAAGAGATGTGCTGTTTGTGGGCAGGTTTCAAGGCAAAGTTGTAGGGTTGGTTTCAGAGGCAGGAGTGGGAGGGAAGAAGTGGGAGGAAGCAAGCTGCAGGCATGCAAAGGGCTCTGTAAATGCAAGGATGTAAGTGTTTGCTTGCAATGACCCCTTTGCATTGAGCCAACAGCCAAAAAGCATCCAAGAGAGTTCCCTGCTGCACGCTGAGACTGGCACCAAGCAGTCTCTTTTCCCTGTCCCCAGGCAGGGTGCTGGCATCACAAGGACTGTGTCTGCATCCCTGCTTGGCATCTCAATTGGACTTGCAAAGGCAGCTCCAGCAGGGTTTCTATGGTGTCCAGCAAACCGCAGCTCTGACTGTTTTTCCCCTGCCATCCAGGTCCTGGATGTTTCTGGCGCCAATGTTTTAGCGAGCGCTATCCCGGACTGCCACGTGTACATCCTGGAGAACTGTGGGCACTCGGTGGTGGTGGAGCGGCCCCGCAAGACCGCCAACCTCATCCTGGAGTTCCTGGCACTGCTGCACAGCATAGACAACAACAAGAAGCAGGCGTGAGCATGGCAGGGAGCCGAGTGCCCAGGCCGGGTCTGTTAAATTGTAAAGTACTGCAGATTTGATAAGTTCTCAGGGATCTTGTACGAATCGGAGTCAATGTGCCAAAGTCCCTGAGGAAGGCAGAATCACTGATACCTAAACCTATAGCACCACTGGCACAGTGATCTAGGGGTCATTGAGCAACCTCCATAGATACAGAAACGGAAGCAGAGTATTTCCCTTTTCTACTTCAAGTAGAAATGAGCCGAAATCACCCAGCGCTCCTCACACAGCCACCCATCCTACCCGGGTTACCAGCACGTAGTTGTCCATGACATTTACCTAAACTATATATGAAGTGTAGGAAGGAGGGAGCATCCTGGACTGAGACTTACAGTATTTCTACTCCTTAGAGTCCGTCGTGTTGCATGCTGCCGTGCTGTAAGAGAGCCCCCCAGTGCTCCAGGCTTGAGTGCTCTCTGTGTAGCTCCTTAACTCGTAATTTATGCAGAAAACAACAGAAAACTTCATGTGTGGAAGTCCAACGACTGTATGTGCAAAAATGTTTACACTGAGTGGGTTTTTCTAAATCCCTGAATAGCTCCTGTGTATATGTAATGCCTTAATGTTGCCCAGGGTGTGGCGTCCATGCCGGGCCTGCCTTGCCCAGGGATGGTTCTCCCTGAGGGTGAACACAGCCAGTGGAAACGGGGTGCAGACGGCAGCTTTGCCACCGCTGTGTGAGCCAGAGGGATGGAAACCGCCCGGGGCGATTCGGTGCCCGGGCCCGAGTCAGCAATAAGCCCGTGGGCGAACTCGTCTCAGTTCCTCTATCACATCGCGCTGCTGAACACCTTGATGTAAATAACGATTTTCTTTATGAATTCTGTGAATTCTGCAAAAGCCAATGTCACTGGGACAGGCGTGAGGGGTGGGAGCGGGCTCCGTGCATGGCTGGTGCAGGACATGTGGGCTCCTGGGCTCGCTGGGCAGCCGAGGACAGAGTCAGCTGGCCTGTGAGTGCTGGGTGGTGGTGTGGAAAGGTACAGTGTGCTTTTGATGATTATGACTCCTGATCAAGTGAAATTATAGGTAGAAACAGGCGACTCTCCAGGTGCGGTCCCTCACTGCCCACCCCAGTGACAGGGCACTGGTCCCGTCCGTGGGCAGGACCAGTGGGTGCTGGAGGGCAAGGCAGTGCGTGGTGCCCTCAAAGGCAAAGCAGCCGGTGGCTGTCACCCCTCGGTCACCCCCAGCCCCCCTCCGGGGTTGACAGCAGGTGCTGCTCACGCCCCCCCCCGACTGGGTACGCACGCTTGCGGTGCTGACAGCCATCTGCGCGACGGCTCCCCGAGGTACCCCGATCTGTACATGCATCTGAGACTCCCTGCCAGCTTCTCTGGTCTTTTTAAGAGAAGAAACATTGTTCTTTTAGAAAATTAGAAATCTGCTGTTAATTGCTTGGTTATTGTTTCTACTACAGGAGTTGATTAAAAAAAAAAATAAAATTGATGATAGTTTTATGTGGTAAGAGCCAGAAAAACTTGTTGGGTATCTATATGGTTTCTCATGCCACAGATTGCTGTATGCAAAGGATTTATATGGCTATTAAAATCTAGTGATTCAAGGAGTCCACAGTGCCATGATTATTTTTTCCTTTGAGGAATAAGGGGGCTATGGTATGGGATGATACACAGCACAGGGGCCTTGTTCTGCTGCTTCTCTCCTCCCCACATTTCTGGGAGATGAAGGTTTTGGCTCAAGGAATATTTGGTAACGGAAAGAGAGATGGTGAAGACCAGGAAGGCTCGAGTCTCATCTCTTCAAAGAGTCTCATCTCAAGACAAGATAGCGACAAACAACTCAAGAAGGAAAACAAAATCTCAAGGGGCAGGGGAGTTGGGTTTTAAGCACCAAGATTCCTCTTAAAACTCTTGCAAGCGTGTTAAATACCAATTTCAGCCATAAAATACAAGTTTTCCTGAATTCATACACTGTGCTAGTGATAGCCTGACATCAATATCCAGGCAACTGTATTTGTGTTTCTCCTTTCCCCAGGGGGCTCTCAAGGCCCAGCAGCTACTTTTTTGCTAGAGGAGCTGCAGGGAGGGCTGGGGAAACATCCTCCTGGCGCCTCATTCCCCTACCGGTGCCCCCTGCTACTGCTGCAATGGTACATGGGTGAAGGTGACTCTATTAATGACCACAGCACAGGGGTGGGAGGGAACTTCTCTCCCCCAGAGGAGAGGGGGCTCTGGGTACTGACCCAGAGCTCGCTCCAGCTGCACAGTCAAGGGCAACTCCTGTTCATTGTGGCTCTGGCTATGTCTGTGCCCAGGGTGGCCCCACAGCAGCAGCTGAGCCACTGAGGAGAGGCAGGGAGGGAAGCTGCCTGCACCTGCAAACACACCTGGCTGCTGTTCCCATTAACCCTCATTTCCTGCTGGGAGCCAACAAATTACCATACCACGCAAAGGCTGCTCCTCTGTTTTCAGCTGCTACCTCTTTGGCACTGAGTCTCCAGGGAGCCCTGGCCACCCTCCAGGTAACGCTGTGTCCAGGCTGGGCTTGGGGCTTGGGAAAGGGCAGAAGCTCCTGCTCCTCCTGATGGGTTTGGGGGGCCTGAGGGCAGAACTGGAGGAACCACAAGGAAATAATTGGACTTCAGTTGTGGTGAGCCTGGGCTCCTGCAATAGTCTGAGCATCCTGGCATGGTGGGAGGGAGGAGGTGTCCTTTTGGTTTGTTGCGCCATGTATAAGTATTGCTTTCCTTGTAATTATGAGAATAAACCAGGTCTGTGCTGGGGCTGGGCTGGGTCATAGGTAAAGGTTCACACAAAAGCTAAGTAAGGAGCTGGCCCTTGGTTGTTATGGATCTTGCTAAGGCTATTTCTCTGTATCCTGAAAGGAGGCTGGAAAACACAACAGGGCTGGCTTGAAATAAACCTAAAAATGCCTCTGAGCAAGCTCTCTTGCTGAACATCCCGGTCTGTGGTGGTACCTGCTCCTGGAGTGTCAGTGGGAACAGGAGGGACAGAGCTAGTGACAGGGTGCTACTTTGTGTGCCCAGCTGCTGCCAAAGGGGAAAATTTGTCCTGAAACATGGACATTCAAGGAAACCTGGGCTGGGTCCTGCACCACACAATTGTGGACAGATGCCTGTCTGCAGTGGAGAAGCATCTTTCCCCCCCCCTCTTCCCAGCAAAGGAGAATAACAGCATTTGCTGCCTTGTGGGAGGGTTTCACCAGCACAGCCCTGCACAGAGCATCCTGTGACCGGCAGAGTGATGCTCAGGGTGTCTGGCACAATGGTTTGAATGCTGCCGTGGGTGTCCCCCACCCTGGCCTTCCCTTGACTCAGTATGTTTCACAATCCTCTTGGATACACTGTTTTTCCTGTGGAAGCCTAGACAGGAGTGCCCTGGAGCAGGGCCCCTCTCACCCACTGTGGAGGGGCCACCCCAGCCCCCTATCCATGTTCCTGCAGTGGTGGAGGCACATATTCCCCACATGCCTGTGGCTGCTTTGTGATGTGACGAGGGTGTCCTGCCAGGACCCTCCAGCTGAGACTTGTAGTGAATGCAAGAAAAACATACAGGATCTGGGAGGGGGTTGGGGTTTGGTTGCTTTTCCTTTTGGGGGGCCTTTTTCCGAAGAGGAGCCTCTTGGGGGTGGTTTGGGATTGTCCATTAAATACTCCCTGAGCTATTTAGAGCTGGGAGGCTCCTCCCTGCCATTCCCTGCCCGACAGCGCTGCCTGTCTGCTGCCTCTGACAGCAGCTCCAGATATGCAGAGCAAACCTCGCTTTTCCCTTCTTATAAAGAAACTTTGTCTTCAGGCGACAGGCTCCTTGGTTGTTATGAGTCTTCCTAAGGCTGTTTTGCTGTATCCTGAAAAGAGGCTGCAACAGGGCTGGCTTGAAATAAACCTAAAAATGCCTCTGAGCAAGCTCCCTTGCTGCTGAGCATCCAGGTCTGTGGTGGGACAGAGCTGGTGGCAGCTGTTCCCGGGTACTTGCGGTGTGCCTATTGGCTGAAACAAAATTTCACTTGGTGTGAAATTTCCTTTCAGCCAGCAGGCCGAAGAGGTCTGCTGACAGGTCTTTTTTTAAAACCAGCAAATAGCAGTGAGCAGGGAGCTGTGGCAAGGGCTCTGGCTGTTGCCCGAAACCAGGTGCCCAGCAAACGGTGCCCTCACACCCCTCTGTGATTCCCACGCTTTCCCAGAAACCTCTGTTCCACTCTGGAGAGCAGGCCCCATGCACAGCCCTGCGGTGCCGCTCTGTTGGTTTTATTTGTTTTCCTGCGTTCCGGGAAAAGCTGGACAGGAGCACTTGGTGAGCGAGCAGGTTTCCAGTAACAGTGCCTGTATTTGTGCTTCCCCTTGGGTTTGCAGAGCATTCCCTTGGCCCAGGCTCTGGACCACCTCTGTGCAGGTGTGCTGTGTTCCTGGGTGGGTAATGCAGAGGCATGTGCAGCTGCAGGGGAGGCATCACTCGGCTCTTCCGTGGCCTCTGCCTTTGCCACCTGAGCATTGGGAAAGCCCAGAGAGCTCAAGAAGCAGGTCAGTCTGTGTCCTAAAGGAGCAGCCTATGGTGCTTCTCAGCCATTTCATGTGATGGTAGTAATGTAGGACTGGCAGAAACCTTCCGAGGCCATCCAGGCCATCCCTAGATTATCTCCTGCATGAGCCCTGAATGTCCCTACTGGTCTTGGACATGGGTTCAGAGGGCATCCTAACAAGTAGCCTGAAACTCTTGCTGAAATTTAAGCTTATTATTTCTCCTGTTCCCACTGGATGCTGGGAGCCTGTTCACAGCTCCCTGCAGCTCCCTCTTGTGTGTTCACAGCCTTCCTGTGTCCAGAGTAGAATCCTGCAGGCTCTGCCAGCTGCTCCTGTACCTGCAGGGTACAAGCTCTGAGCTTAGACTTTTCTGGCTTCAAACAGTGTGTGTCTTGCTTCATGAGTGTTTTAATAGCAAACATCCCCGGTCAGCATGGTTTAAAATAAATAAATAGTAGCAATAACACCCCCCTCACCCCACCCCGAATGACGTGTCTCAGCCTGTGAGTCACCCTTTCCTGTAACCTTGATCCTCAGCCTGCCTTTGCACACCGGTTATTCATACCTGGAAGCAGAATACTGCATCATAAGTATTTCCAGAACTACATCCACCTTTCTTTGCCCACACTTTTTTGGTCTAATTGCCAAGATCACCTGTATCCTACCACAGCTTCCCAACACATCCCCTTGGGGTGTATCAGCTGTGTGTTCATTAAGCACCCTGGCCTCCAGCTCAGTTACTGAGGCACTGATGGAGCTGGGGAAAACAGTGCCTCCTTCCACTCCCACAGGGAATCACTGGTAGCTCGTGAGAAGAATTTTGCTGCATATTTTGTAGCCACCTTGCAGGTTGAGTTAATCTCGAGTTTCTTTATTTTTCCAGTGGAAATGGCAGAGTCTTGCTTAGCAAAAACCCTACTAAAGAAGTACAGTCCTTACTGCTCTCTCTGCCTCTGGGGCCTGTTGCCCTATTGCAAAAGAAAATTGATTTGGAGTAACAAGAGTAATTCTTGTTATTGACCACACTGACAGTTTCTAGGTGCCGTGGGGACCACCTACAGATCCAATGCCTGGAACGTATTTGCCTTAGCATAAATAACCCTTGGTGGTGTCCAGGTGGTTGTGAAATATTTGCAGTCCTGGATTTGACCCTGTAGGCAGGAGAGAAGTCACTGGTCTGTTTGCAGATCCAGGTGAAGGCTGGAGGACAAGTGAGGCTGCTTGGGACCATGGATGTTGTGGATGGGGACCTCATGGTCACTTCTGTGCCCATGCTGTCTCCAGCCTCGACGCCCGTGGCATCCCAAATTTCAGCACCCCATTTCGCCAGCACTTGTAGCGAGGTGACACCAGGTGGCAGCAAGGGACCAGCGCGGGGAGCTGCTGCAGCACCCTGGGGGAATCAGAGAGGGAGTCCCAATGCTGCACCCCCAACTCCAAGCCGCAAGTTCTGCTCCTTGCTTTGGGCTGATGTCTAGGCAGAGTCTGGTCTCTCTGTGGGATCTATACCCTCCGTATTTGCCAAACCCATATGTCACCCATCCAAGGGCAAAGAGCAGCATTCTTATGTTTGGAGCTGGGTGTTCCCAGGGTCAAATTCACTCCTTCCATAAGTTGCCCAGACTTTGAAGTTTAAGAGCAAGTCACCCCTGAAAGGAGTTAAATAATTAACTTGTTTTGCAAGATACTGGATTTGGCCTGCAAGAAAACCTCTCTGTGTCAGCAGCTCTTGAAGGCTGTTTCTGGGCTCTGGCTCAGAAGGGATGTGAGGGATAAGAAAGGAGAAAAATAGGTGGTGCTGGGAGTGAAGTCAGTATGTGCATCCCGTTTCCTGTGGGCTGGAGGAGATGGGGGCGATGCATCTACCCCCTTTAGCCCTGGAGAAATGATGTCAGGCCTCTCATCCCACACAGCTCAAGAGAGCCTGTGCAGCGTTCTCTCCTCATCTCCTCATCTCTCTTCAGCACCTGCTCCCTTGCCAGCAGTTCCCATCTGAGCAACCAGAGCACTGTGGCCAGGAGGGCTCCTGCAAATCTCCCTTCAGTGCTTGAGAGCTACTGACCTGG